TAGAAACCTTTGAATAGCTGTGTGCTCTTTTATCTTAGTGAAATCTTCTTTCTTATTTTCTTTTTCTTTTATTTCTTCTTATTTTCCTTCTTATTATTTATCAATAAACTATCTTATTATTATTTTATACATCTGTATGATATTATATATCATTGTCTGAGTGCCATTATACATCTGAGTGATCTTATAAAACCTGAGTAATTGTATAAATCTTTGTGAATTAAGGTAACAGTTAGGCCTTCGTGACAATAACAGTCATTGTGAATCTTTGGAAATATACGAGTCTTAGTGAATTACAGTTGAATATATCTAAGTGGAACTAATTATAAATCCAGGACTTAGGAATAAATCAGCAGATTACTACGTACATTAAAAAGAAACAACTCTTGAACACCTTGTTTAACTGTAGCGATCCACCAAAATCGCACGTTAACAATATATTAAATAATTATTATATAAGGATTATCTATAACTATCTAATCATTACACAATTATTACTACATATTTCATTGCATAGTTACATATCAAGACTATGTAAGAATTACTAATTTCTTAACTATAATTTTATATCTTTTCATAATTATTACATTTACTTCTAATTTTAAATATTGTATATCATATCACTATAATACCAATTTCATTGATTGGCATTTTAATTTATGATTACATTACCATTATAAGTTCACTTACTATGATTTCTTTAATGATAAATATTTAATCATGCTTTTTGTATTATGTGATTTGCTGTGCTTCATTTTCACTTAGGTAATAATGTTATCTTTTTATATATTAATTTATATAATAGGATACTTTATAAATCTTAGAATAATAGAATTAGATTGATATTAAAGTTTTAATTACACATGTTTTATTATTTATTATTTATTATTTTTCTTTAATAAATATTCTTATTTTTAAACTTGTTTTATATTATATGCATAATAGTTAGATATGTGATTAATTGCTACTTAATTTATTAATTTATAAAGCATTCTTTTAGTTAAAATATATATATATTATACAATTATTTTAATGAATCAAATAAGTTATCAATAAAGAAAAGAAATTGCTTAAATACCTTATTTATTATTGCAATTTGACATTAAAAATTACATATTATATGTAATAAAATATTATTACTTATAATCATAAAAAAAAAAAATTATTATTAAACTAATGAAAAATTTGATACTTTACTATTAATACTAATATAATAGTAAAAAGATTTAACAAACTATTAATACTATCTAAAATATCAAAATTTGATTAAACTTATTTTTTAAAAATAAGTTATATAATAAAATTAATAAATTTATATTAATAAGTATAAGTATATAATTGAGACGAACAAATTTCAAAAATTAAAATATAGTAATAAAAAATAACGCCAGTAAAATAAAATTCTTTTCTACAACTGGAAAATTTATTGAGACTTTTAGGACTGCTTAACATTCCTAATACTATTAGTATTAATTTGAATTAATAACCTACCCAAGGCTTTAATAACAATAATTATAATAATTTAATCTTAATACTGTTAGAAAATTATGCAAAAGTTATTTTCTATTAACTGCCAAGAAAAAGAGAATGCCTACATCTGAACTCGTATGATAAAATATATAGACAGTATTACAAGATTTCCCTATAAATGACGAATGGTATGAAAATCTTTATGCTCATCTAATGTCACTGCATAATTTAAATACAATATCTGTATTTTTTTTTTAAAAAAAAAACTTCTGATAGTTTTCGATTAAATAAAAATGGTTTTAGCAAATGAACTCAAAGCATGGCAAAAACTTCAAAGTCATTATGAAAATATAGGAAAAAACATTATCATAAAAGATCTTTTTGCTCAAGACACAAACCGGTTCAGTACTTTTTCTCGTCAGTTTAAGAGTGAACGTACTGGTGCTTCACTGTTACTCGATTTTTCGAAAAATATTATCACAAATGATACATTCGTTGACTTAATCGAATTAGCACGTGAAGCCGATGTTGAAGGTTTTAGAGAAAAATTGTTCAATGGTGAACATATCAATTTCACTGAAGACCGGGCTGTATTACATGTCGCCTTGAGAAATGTTTCAAACACTCCAATTCTTGATAATGGCGAAAATGTTATGCCGGGTGTTAATGAAGTTTTGGCGCAAATGAAAAGAACCTCTAATGCGATTCGAGATGGTTCGTGGACCGGTTATACTGGAAAACCTATCGTTAATATTGTAAATATTGGAATTGGTGGATCTGATCTTGGTCCCGTGATGGTTACTGAAGCTTTGAAACCATACGCGAAACCAGGATTGAATGTGTATTATGTTTCGAATATTGATGGAACACATTTAGCTGAAACTCTAAAGAAATTGGACCCGGAGACTTCCTTGTTCATTATTGCTTCTAAGACTTTTACAACACAAGAAACCATTACCAACGCTACATCTGCAAGAGATTGGTTCCTTGCTACAGCCAAAGATGTAATTAAGTTTTTGTATTTTTTATTTGCTAATTTTTATGAATAAGTAAAGTTACATTCTAGATGCGATCATTTTATTAGAATAAACACGTTGCAAAACATTTCGTTGCACTTTCAACAAACACTAGCGCAGTTACATCTTTCGGAATTGACCCCGCAAATATGTTCAAATTCTGGGATTGGGTTGGTGGACGTTATTCTTTGTGGTCAGGTATGAACTAAATTAATTATACTTAGTTTTTAATGGAAAAAAAAAGTAATTCGAACAATAATTTGATATGAATTAATTAACTTAATACTAAAGCCATTGGTCTTTCCATTGCCATATATCTTGGCTTTGATAATTTTTACGAACTTCTTTCTGGTGCACACGACATGGACCTTCATTTCAGAAATTCTCCTTTGGAGCAAAATTTGCCAGTGATTTTAGGAGTTCTTGGTATTTGGTACAATAATTTCTTTGGATGTCAAACTCATGCTATTTTACCTTACGACCAATACCTTCATCGCTTCCCTGCTTATTTTCAACAGGTCTGCTAACGCAAATATAATAAAGAAATTCGTTTTTTATTTTAATTAATAAATTCTTTTAATTGGCATACTTTCTTTAGGGTGATATGGAATCCAATGGAAAATATGTTTCTCGTACAGGACAAGTTGTTAATTATTCAACGGGTCCTATCATTTGGGGTGAACCAGGAACAAATGGACAACATGCATTTTATCAATTAATTCATCAAGGCACAAAAATAATTCCTGCAGACTTTTTGGCGCCAATTGAAACGCATAATCCTATATCAAATGGTCTGCATCACAAAATACTACTTTCAAATTTCTTTGCTCAAACTGAAGCTCTTATGATTGGTAAGACCAAAGAGGAAGTCCTAGAGGAATTAGGCAATGTGTCAAACAAAGAATTGATTGCTTCACATAAAGTTTTTCGTGGTAATCGACCAACAAATAGTATCATGTTTCAAAAACTAACACCTGGTACTTTGGGAGCCCTCATTGCTCTTTACGAACATAAAATTTTTGTTCAAGGTATCATTTGGAACATTAACTCATTTGATCAATGGGGTAAGTCAATATTTTCTACATATAACAAATATACAAGTATTAATTTTATTTTTTGAAATATTATTTAGGTGTGGAACTTGGTAAAGTTCTTGCCAAGAAAATCTTGCCAGAATTAACAAGTCAGGATGCAGCACCCATTTCTTCTCATGATGCCAGTACTAACGGCTTGATTAATTTCTATAAAGCCAATATCAAGAATTAAAGTCACGTCATATTTAAAATTTCAAATATATTTATAAGCTGTTAAATAAAAGTTTCAGATTTCTATAACTTAAACATGAAAAGGTACATTGCCTCAACAACTCTGCTAACAATTTTACATTTATTTTGAACCAGTAGATAATTCCCACAAATGGTTGGTCATGAAATACTGTGAATGTCTATCGTCGATAACTAAAGTATGAATGTCGTTATTATCAGGAGATTCTAATGAACGTGATAAATGGATATTAATTTTATAGTGAATTATAAAGGTTACTTTTTTTTAAAAAAAAAGAAATATATATATATATATTTACCTATTCTTGCCTTTAATTCGTGAGTATCCTCGTCCTCAATGAATTGAATGCCCAATTTGCGATATACATGAAGTTGAAGCCTTTTTTTTAAAAAAAAAAAATATAAGAAAAATATAAGTTGTGATCAATTACGAAATTTTAATACACAAGGGTTAATTAAAGGACATTAACTTACGAAGTATTATCATCTTTTGGTAATGTCTCGTCTTCGATATTTATACTTTCTAATTCCTCTAGTTCCCTATATAAAGAATTGTATTCCTCTTCAAGATCCGTATTCAAAATTTTCATATTAAGAATTTATAAAATAATAATAAAACAAAAGTTCTCATAAACAAAGGATATTTTTCTTCCGCGTCTAATTGAGTGAGTGTTTCATTCAACTCAAACTTTTCACGTTCATATTTGACCATAAGGTCGTTAAAGCCAGTTTCATTTTGTTCAATAGATTTCTTTGTACTAGCTTGAATGGTCGTTAATTTTCTATTCAACGCTAAAGAAATTATAAAAATCCATAAGTAAATTATAAAAAATATGCGATAATAAAAAAAAAGAAGACTCGAGACATACTCCTTAATTCATTTCTAAGCTTTTCACTTTTTTGATTAGTGAATTCCTCAAACTTACGAACATTTTGAGCAACTTCTTTGAGGATTGCTGTCTGTTCATCTGAATTGAATTTGTTCTTCAACGAGACAATTTCATTAATAATATTATCAGAATGTTCCATGTTTAATGTTAAAGCAGTTTAATAAATTGTTAACGAAATTATACGAAAGACGCGTCATTAAAAGCAAATTTGTGAATACTGCGCCATTGCAAAAAGAAATTATGTAAATCGCGTTTATAATTTTATATATGTAATATATTTTCTTTAAATGCTCTTTTAATGATAATATACCTATTAATTTAAAAGCTTTTTTATGTTTGTTAGCATACTTTAGACTATAGACTATGCATTATTGCACTTTAAAAATAAAGTAAAATAACAAGCAAATATTTATTATAAATATACTTGGCTTTTTAACATAATCTACTTACTGGTTAATATATAAAATAATTTATAATAAAAAGGTTTAATAATAATATATTTTAACTATAAAAAATATTTGCATATAAAATAAGGTAAAGTTTAATATAAATGGTTATAAAAAATTACAATTTTTTTGTATATGGATTCTTTATAATAGAAAAGAAGGAAAAAACTTTTTTGCTTTATACTAAAATGATTTTTTAGAAAAAAACATTAAATAAAAAATATTTTTTTAGAATTTCTTTCTTTTTACTATAATTATCCATATTTAATTTATTAAATATGGATTATTTGTTATTATTTTAAAATTAAATATTAGTTAATAAATATATTATTAAATTATTAAAAATAATTTTATATTTATATAATTAGCTATTAGATAAATATCTTTTTTTTATTATTATATTATTATAATTATAATTTAATTATAATTTTTTAATAAAATAATTAGAATTATTAATAAAATTTTTAATGGTTAGTTAAGTTCAATTAATCAATTAAATAAATTTTTTTTTTAGCTAGTTAACTTTTGGTTAATCAATTTAATAATATTAATTATATAAGAATTTTGTAATAAAAATATATAAAACTAAAGAAAATTTATTTTAAGTTAATGTTAATCTCAACTTATTTTACTAAAAATTTATATAGCTTATAAAATAAAATATAAATTCTTTTAGTATTTCATATTTTTCTATTACCAAGTATCTATATAGTTAAAAATGATTAAATAATTAATATGAACATTAGCTTAAAAGAATATTTAATAAAAATCTTATTAATAGAATTATATTTCAAATCTTTTAAGATATTTAACAAGTAAGTAAATTATGTTATATATATATTATATTATCTTTATTTAAACTTTATTACTCTCTTCTATACTAATAATATAGGTATTGATTATATATATTATATTGATTAAAAAAGAAATTAAAAGTAGTCTAATATAGTTAAAATTATAGTTAAAAAAATAATGAGCTTATTTATTCCTTAGATTGTAGAGTTTTGTAGACAAATTTGACTGCTTATTTACTATAAATTCTCTTCTGATTTATTTATATAAATAATTAATATTTTTAAAAAATCTTTTTTTTTAAATTAATTATATAAATATGTAATATATTATAATAAGTTTTATCTTTTAATTATATAATAAAAAATGCAATGTTACTTAGAAGCTAAAAATTTGTAATTTTTAAAAAAAATTATTTTAAAAAATTTCATGATTAATCTATGATAAACTTTTTAGAATTTACTTTTAATTATATTAATCATAATAGAATATTATAAAATTACTTATAAAGAAAAACTTTTATTATTATAATTTTTATAATTTATTA